GGTTCCATCCAATACAATTATTCGCTAATAGCCTATACTTAGAAGCTTTTTTTATGCACCGAATTTCTTGATAAATAAATAAAATTAATGGTTCAAAAATGCACTTTAGAATCGATATTTTTATGTGAGGATCGATCCTTTCGATACAACTATCGAAAGTATCGATACTTAAGGATCGATCCGCCCATCCCTACACACTTATTCTAATCTCACATACTATTTAGGATGGATAGTATGGACACTGAGACGCAGGGTAAATTTATAGCTCCACAAAGAGCTGAGCGCGCGCAAGCAGCGTGTTTTTGGGTGTAGGCGCACATTAATTCCGCTGCTTGCGCGCGATCAGCTCTTCGTGGCGTTCTAACCGTGCGTTATCATTATTTGGCGCCTGGCGCCTCCCACCTGTTATTCAATCCCCCTTCCAAATAATAAAATCCTCATCAAGACAAGATCAATGTCTTTTTATACTGTGGTGTAGGCTAATATTTAATAGAAGAGCATAATCCATACTTCTGTCTGACATTAATTTTAATTTATTGATTTTATCATTTCTATGTAGTGTATTTTTTGGCGTGTCAATTCATATGCTTAAGAAGTTTAGTGAGTCATTTGTTATTTATCTGTATATTCTTGAAAAATCCGAGTTAAAAAGGGTGTTGGCAGGCTGGTCTTGAAACGCCCAGGCTGAAAATGGGCCCCAATCCGGTCCTGCTCCTACCTCTCGGCAGCAAGTTACAGACAATCCACTGTGTGCAACAGGTCCCCTCGTGGATGAAACGAAGTTGAAATAAAGATAAAAGTCACAGTCTGGGTTGGCAGGCCATCTTTAACTCCTTACGTCATGCACGTCCGCTAGCGCACCAGAAGAGTTTTGGTTCAGTAACTCTAAACTCTTAACTGGAGTTTAAAACCGGAACAGAATCGCTGTTTTTTCACTCAAATGAGTTTCCTTTAGGTCCCCAACCAGGTAAGTAGTATTTCTTTTCTCTTTTATGGTTTCAAAATGAATTTATCAACAAGTTATTTCATTCGTTAAACTCTTAAAATCTCTACGCGTCTTCTCTCTTCTTCAACCGTTACACTTTCCGCTGCTCCTCCAGAGAACGTCCCTGCGTGCACGCCAGCGATTCTCTTAAAGGGGAAGGGTCTACATAAAGGCATAAATGTAAATGTATACTTTTACATAAATGTATACTTTAAAAAACTTATTTATGAACTATGATATATTATGTTTATTATTTTTTTATATTATAATATTATGAATTATTGCAATTATGTACTTACTTAAAATAGTTGGGTTAAAAATTACCCAACAGATAACCCGACCCAATGTTGGATTATTTTAGCCCAATGCATTGGGTTGTAAATTTTACCCAATAAACTGGGTCATAAAATAACTCATTTGTTGGGTTATTCAGACAACATTTTGATTGAACTATTCTGGTATTATTATATTATTATTGCTATGTAAATAAATAATAATGTACAGCATACGCTTTATTTCCATTACATTTAAAGTTGCAAACACTTCTATTAAATTAAATAACTGGTTGAAATTGTGTTATTAAAGTGTCCCTATTATGGGTAATGAAAGGTTCATATTTTGGTTAAATTGATTTTCCATTTGAAGAATTGTTGCAAAACTGCAAGTACACACCGATTAAATAGAAAATGATTTGAAAGAGTTTATGTCGTTATTTTACCCAGGTTAAGGGAATATGAACGCCTTGTAACCTGTTTTTCTTCCTTATGTGAAGTTGAGCAGGTCAGTCAAACATTTTTGAAAAGGGGAGCGTTTCCCAAAAGCATCGTTATAGCTATATGGTCGCAAGTTCTGTTAAACTCTATATTGACAGAGGTTGCGACCAGTTGCAAATGGGGAACGCGCCCCAGGCCGCCGTTAAAGAATTCGTGATAATGACTGAAAAGAATATACACAAGTATACTTTTCGTAAAACGTTTCTTATTCGAATCCAAAGCACAATAGCATTCTATTGGTGTTTCGTTCTAATTAAACTGAAAATCTTTAAGCTATGGATAGGGAAATGGAGTGTTGTTCCCTGACTGTTCCGGGAAATGATTAAAACTTAACTTTAAAGCTTCGAGAGAGTGTCAAAAAACAGGATCTCATTTGAGTTTATAATAACAGCCAGTATGTGCAGCTTCAAGAAAATGAACATACATCTGTGTTCTTCTTGTTTTGTATTTCCATGTTTGTGTCATAGTTTCTCATGCATATGCATAAATATTTACTCTATTCTTTATATCTTACTCTCCATTTCTGATTTTTCTTTGCTCTTTATATTTCGTTGTTGAATATTGTTGTATGCTGTATCTATTCTCAAGTTAGAGGCATAAGTGACAGAGTAGCATGGGTTTCCATCCAAACGTGAAGTGAATCTTTTCAAAGTTCGCAAAAAAAAAAAAAAAAAGAAACAAACAAAAAAAGCGAACGTCGCTACGTCAGAATTTATTCGCCAAATGCGTTTCCATCTCCCATTATTTATATTAAAGGGGTCATATGATGCGATTTCAAGTTTTCCTTTCTC